AGGAGGGAAAAGCCTGTTTGATTCTGTCCTGTGCAGGGCTCTCAACTGCACACCCACTGACCTGCAGGGGTGTGTACAGCTCCCGCAATCGTGAGCAGAGTTGTGTGTGTGCATGGGGGTGCCTGTATGCTCCCTGGGGAGTGGGTCTATGGTCTCAGCAGCTTCTGAAGAGGGCGTGACCCCACGAGGGAAGAAGCACTGTCTGTGCTGGTGAGGTATGGCCTGTGCGGGCGGATGAACGAGATGGCTGTTGGAGGGACCCAGACTGTGGGTGACGCTGGCCTCTGGCAGCAGGCATGGGAGCTGTGTTAGTCTGTCCCTGTTGCTTATCACAAAATACATGGAACCAGGTAATTTGTAAAGAAAACAAAATGTATTGCTTACAGTTTCTGAGGCTGGGCAGTCCAAAGTCCATCTGGTGGTGGCGACAGTGACCCAGGGGTCTCACATTGTGAAACGGTGGAGCAGAGAGAGCAGAGAGTGAGCGTGAGCAAATCTTCATGTTCTCTTTTTAAAGCCCTCAGAACCGCGCCCCTGACCACCATTATTAATCCACTCACTAGGGCACGGTCCTACAATCTATAATCACCTCTTCAAGGCTCCACCTTTCAATGACCGTAATAGGATCTCCCACCCTCTTAACAGTCACAGTGGGGGCCAAGTTTCTAATACATAAAACTTGGGGGACACGATTCAAGCTTCAGTGAGTTTGGGGGGCATTCAGTCTACAACAGGAGCTTACGGCCAGCGTGAGGTCTGGGGACACATGACAGAAGAACAGGCCTGTGGCACGACTGTCGTGCTTGCAGCAGAACACAGTCGGAGAAGAGCAGGAACTGGGCTGCAGGGTGGGTGGGATGGACCGCTGCCTTCCTGGGTGCTGCAGGGACCACGGGCGACCATGGTGACCGTGGGGACTGCAGGGCTCTGACCACCCCCACAGAGCGGCCAGGAAGAGCCCAGGCCAGCAGCCCCGCCCCAGGAGCCGCTGCGTGGCTTCTCTTCGCACGCCCTGCTGGCCTCCAGCTGCCCTCACTAGGCCGAGTCACTCCAGCTCGTGTTAAAAACATATCTGGGGTTTGTTTTGATCAGGGCTGGTGAGACACGCAGACACGGTTACGCTCGTCCTCAAGGCAGGGGCTTATGCTGACAGATCCCTAGAAACAGGCCCGGCACGTGGGGGCACGCGGGGAAGCCAGGTCTGGAGGCAGAGGGGGCAGAGCCGGCCGGCGCCTTTGCTGGGGTTCCCGGGGAAAGGATTGGGCGAGGCAGGTGGGCATGCTGCGTAAGCTCGGGGGGGACGGCTTGAATGCTTTGGGTGGGTGCTGGGCTGTTGGGGTGCTCCCCCATTATCCAGTACCTGGCCCTGGGGTGATGTGGGGCAGGAGGAACGCTGGCTCGGGGTGTGAGAGTTTGATGCGGGAGGTGGTGAGTTTGTACATCAAAGGCACACTCACAGGGGAGTTGTCTGCTGTCTCCAGGAATTAGCTGGCCCTGGTGGGGGGCGAGGGGGCAGCCCCTCCAGGACAAAGGCCAGATATCAGGAATACAAAAAATAAGACAAGTCAATGCGCAGCTCCCTGGTGTTGCAGGGCTGTTGGCTTCTTGTGCAATGCAGCTGGACAAGACGGGGCTGGGACGGGAAGACATCCCAGAGCAGCCGCGTCTGGCTCGCGCGAGTCGAAGGTCACCTCCATGGGCCTGTGGGACAGTGCACCCCACGTCCCCAGGGACCACTGCTCACCATGGAGGCTGTCCTGGGCTGCAGCCGCCTGTCCTTCCATCGGCCCTTGACATCTTGCAGACACAATCTGCGGATCGTTTGCTCACATTTTAAAGAACAATTTGCTGCAAAAGTAAACAGATTTATTGTAAAACAAAAAAACTGGGGCGGAATTTGAAAAACACACAGGAGAAAACGAGGCTCCATGATCCTCCTATTCGACATCACGTCCTCTTGTTATTTCAACACACGTCCTTCCCGTCCCTCTGTGTGTGTGTGTGTGTGTGTGTGTGTGTGTGTGTGTGTGTGTGTGTGTTTGGGGTGGGGGTGCCGACGCACAGGAAAGCACACAGACACCCCCACCATCATACACACGTCTCCGCATCACTGTCACCTCTGCTGTGACACTGGCAGGGCTCTCTCCCCTCCTGCCCGTCTCCACACATGGCACCTCCTTGGGAATGTCTGTCCGGACCAGCATCCCAGGATTGCCATGAGTTTCCCTCCCGCCTCTGTATTCTTTTTCCATAGCACGTGTCACCTCTGGCACGTCCCCATGTTGGTTAAGGAACGTCTTTGCTGTTGGATGGAGTGGCCTTTCCCAGGACCAGAGGTGGGGCCCGTGCACAGCGAAAGCTCCCTGAGCACCAGGAATGAATGAATGAAATACACACCGAGGCTGCAAAGGGCAGAAATACATGAACACGGGGCACACAGTGGGTGCTCAATAAATGCTAAGTCCTCCGCTCCCCTCTGTGTCCAGGTCTGCTTGCTGCTGTAGTTAAACAACGTGCTAGCTGCAGGCACAGCCAGGCCTGATCCCCCAGTGTCCCACCGAACCCACCCACAGACAGGGTGCCTGGCACAGTGGCTTGAGGCAGGACCTCCCGTAAGCTGTGTGGGTCCCAGACAAGCAATATTTGAGGCGTCCCTGTCCATACGAACAAATTAGTTTAAGAAATGCACTACAGAGTTCACAGGCGCGTGTGAACCAGTGATTCTTAAATGAAGGTTTGGAGTGGCGGGTAGAGAAGGAGCTAACGCGTTTGCTTATTGTCCAGTGAATGTGAAGCTCCCGTTCCTTACTGTCCCATGTGCCATTCCTGGGTCATTTCACACGTGCCACAGTGTGCGCCGTGGCTCCTCGGAGCCTGTCTGTGTTGGAGCAACACGGCCACCTGCCCCGCGGCTCCTGACACCATGCACTTAACACTGGGCTTCCCTCCCTACGGCTCTCTGCCGCCCTGTGTCCCTCGGCTGCTGGCTTCCGCCTTCTGTGCCTGGGCTTGGACACAGAGGACCGCGCTCTTCTGTGTCATCCCTGTAGCCTGCTGCTCACCACAGTCAGTGCTATTGCAGGCCAGCGGCATGTCACCGTCTGCCACCCCGAGCGTGGGGTCCGGGGCTCTGTCCCAGGCTCCCACCAGCCTTCCTTTCTGTCTCCCTCCCCTCCCACGCATGCACAGTGGGCAGGTTTCCTCTCCTGTGTCCCCTGACGCCTCGAGAGTTTGGACTGCAGCTCTGGGTCCCGGGGGCTGGCAGGAAAGGCTGCCAGGCCACGTGACCTCATCTCTGCCCACAGGGGCAGTTTTGCAAGGTCCCTGCTGGGCCAGCCCCTGCTGTGACCCGTGAAGCTGTCCTCGTCTGTTGGCACCCACAGCTCTCCCTCTGGGAGCCCCTCTGCAGCGTCTAAGCCCTGCTTCCTTATCTCCAAGCTGTGACCCCTGGGGCGTTTCGACTGGAACCTGACCCGGTGGCAGCAGAGCGCTCCTGCCCACGACCCGACAGCGCGCGTCTGTGCCTCTCAACCTGGCTGCACCTGCTATTGGTGCTTAGAAGGCGCTTTTCACTGGGCTCTATGATCCTCCCATTGTCTGTTAGAGGATCTTGCATGGAGCAGGTGCCTGGTGGCTTTTTGGAGCCGCTCGGGCCATCTGTGAGCAAGCAGCAGGGCCCCCAGGCTGCCTGCCCGCCGGTCCCCGAGGGGGCACGTCCTTGTGGCCTCTCAGACGCAGTCACAGAGTGGTGGATTCAGGCCACACACCATGGGGAACGCTCCCATGTCCGGTAACCGAGGCCCAGCTCCAGTGAACTTCAGTCAATGTGTAACTCGACCCTGGGCCAGCTCTTTCTGTCCCACGGTGACACAGCCTCGATCACCGTGGCTTCCTGGAAAGGGTCCCAGCATGAGCATCACTTCTGGCGTCCGTCTGTCCGTCCTCCCAGCCAGGCCTGGCTGCCAGCAGCCCCACCCCCGTGGTCTGGCCAAGTGATGTAACCCTCCAGCCTTGCACAGCACGGCCTGGGAACGGGGCCATCCCCGCCCCCGAGATATAAACAGGGCCCCGGGGCAGGCCAGGGAGAGGCGGCCCCTGCTCTGGGACTGAAGCGGAAGGTGAGCGGGCCCCCAGCAGCTCCCCCAGCCCCCGGCAGCTCCCTGGCCCCCAGGAGCTTCCCCGTTTCTCGGGCTGCAGCTGAGTTCTGGGCTGGGAGTCCAAGGCCAGGGGCTCTGGGGCAGGGGGAGGAGGAGACCTGCTGGAAGGGGCTAAACAGCCTTGGGGAACAAGGAGTGAGGGTTTGGTGGTGGCCGTGCCCCGCAGGGGACGTCCCCTCCGTAAGACTAGACATCCACATGGGGCTGTCCTCCCCGGGCCCCTGCTCTGGGTCTCACCAGAGGAACTGCCCTCCTAAGCTTTAGGGCAGGGGCCGGGTCCTCCGCTGCCTCTCAGCAGAGCTGGGGTCCTCGGGGGCAGAGGGGACTCGCCCAGGAGCAGAGTCCAGTGGCCGAGAGTCCATCGGTCCTCCCCCGTCAGGAGCAGCTGCTAGGCTCGTGCAGGCAGCAGGGCTGGCGGGGACGGGCCGGGCTCGGCCAGCCCCCAGCTGGGTCCGCACGGGGCTCCGGTAGGGTGGGCTGCCTCTGGTCCTGGGTTCAAGGCCGGGGCCTGTGGCATCAGGCTCAGTTCTTTGTCTCCTGAACCTCGATATGCTCGTGCATGGAGCGGGGCTGACAGTGCACCCAGGCCCTCTCTCAAGGGCTGTGGCTTGAACGGAGACGGCTGACAGGACACAAATGTGCTTTCTGACCCTCAGGACAAACAAAAGGGCAGATTCGGATTTCTTTGAAAGGCAGTATAGATGGGCGCTTAAGTGTGTGGGCTGCAGGGACAGGAGGTCTGGGTTTGGGTCCTAGTTCTGTCTCTTACCAGCTGTGTGACCTTGGGCAAGTCTCTGGGCCTCTCTGTTCCTCTGCAAAACAGCATTAATTGATTCACTACCGAGGACCCGCCATGCCCAGGCAGCACCTCGGGAACGGGGGTTGCATCAGTGGACAGAACAGCGTGAGGCCTGCTCTCGTGGGGCTTACGTCGTGGCAGGAGGGACAACACTAGGTGTAATAAACACGAACTGGACGACGCAGAGTGTTACGAGGTGACAAGTGCACCATGAAAGGAAAAGTCAGGTGGGACCAGAGGCGAGGGTCCCCGGGTGGGCGGACGGCGCAGGTGGAATACAGCGTTGGGGAGGGCGAGGGTTGTTTGAAGATTTGGTGGGTTGGTATAAGAGAAGCACCAGAGCGGCGCCTGGCAGGTGGCGGCACCATCAGCATTTGTGCAGAGACGCAACAAGGAGGGACACGCGGGGGCACTGCTGAGGGCGGAGGCCAGGAGGGGGCAGAGGAGGAGAGTGCAGCGGGGGGCCCAGGACCCTCATGGGGGACGGCAGTGGACCCCGCTGTGACAGACAGCACCTCTGCCTCGGGAAGGGGTGTGACACTGCGTCCCCCAGGACGGCGCCCGTGCCGTGCGGGAGCAGCAGAGTGGCTGGGTGGCCTCGGCCCCCCGCGGGCCCACGGCGCCTGCCAGGCGGGGCTTCTCCTGCAGTCCCCAATGATGTGACTGGACTTGGCCACTTTCACTGCTGTGACCTGCCAGCTCGGCTTGTCAGCACAGCCTGCCGGGAGCAGGGAGCGTTTTCTGTTCCGTTTTTCCACGTCCTGTGGGTTTCATGAGAGCAGTGGAGAGAGACAAATGCAAGGAGGGGAGGGCACGGGGGAGGCCGAGGTCGGAGGTCGAAGGTCCCCTGGCGATCGATGACTTAGAGCAGAACGGAGCACACGGGCATGTCGGCAGGTGCGCCGTGCTGGGGGCCCTGCTGGTTCCCAGGCCAGGACACAGGCCGCCAGCTGCCAGTGCCAGAGGGATGCTGGGTGTGCATGTGGAGGCAGGTAGTTTAGGCGTCAAGGTGACCTTGAGTCAGGGATGACATAGCACAGCTCCGAGGAAGCCCTGCACAGGGCTGGGAGGCCAGGGGCACGACAGGGGCAGGGGACGAAGGCCGAGCAGTAACAGGGCGCTGCCTGACGTTCCCCTGCAAGAGGTGGGTGACATGTGGTGCAAACTGCAGGAACTGAGCGAACGCATAGAATGAACTCCCACCCCCTCCTTGGAGAAGAGTCAGATGGAGTGAAGCAGCCAGGCTCTCAGGCCAGTCCCAGTGCCACTGCGGCAGTCGAGGCGGGGGCCCCGCCGGGATTTTGAGAGTGAAGGGCCCCGGAGCGCCTCCGAGCCACCCTGGTGGCCCATGTCTAGGGCAGGTGCTCTAAACCCTGGCTGCACATGAGAGTCATTTGGGAAGTTTAAAGAAAAAATTCCATATCTGGCCCCAGCACAGACCCGTGAATCCAGCTGGCGGTGAGTGCACACACAGGCGTGACGGTGGCAGTCCACAAGAGAGACCACCACGTGGTGACAGTTGAGAGTGGGTTTGGGGTGGAGACGGAGGAAATGTCTGGGCCTCAGGCTGAGCCCATGGTGATCAATCCTAGGGGTGACTTAGTTCCATGGGAAGCTAAAAATCTGTTCCCAGGCCAAGCCCAGAGCCATTTAATTAGCATCTGGCAGGGGGACTGCACAGAGTCCTGCTGACTGGCACACGCTCGGTGTCACAGGCAGCTGCATGTCTTACCTGCTACAGTAATAAGCACTACAGGCCGGGGGGCTCCAACGACACGCGGCCCTGGAGCCCAAAAGCCCGAGATCCAGGCGTGGCAGGGCGGGCTCCTCCTGAGGCCTCTCTCCTCGGCTTGCAGACAGTGTCTTCTCTCTGTGTCCTCACGTGGCCGCCCCTCTGTGTGTGTCTGTGTCCTCATCTCCTCTTCCTATAAGCACACCAGGCAGATTGGTTTAGGGCCCACCATATGATGTCACCTTAACTTGATTATCTCTGTAAAACCCTATCTCCAAATACAGTCCCATGCTGAGGTCCTGGGCTTAGGGCTTCCCCGTCTGTACTGGGGAGGGGCATGGTGGCGGCGTGTTTTGCACCTGGGTCCTACAGGCATTTTCCTTGGAGCTTTGAATCCGTGTCCTCTCTTTATCATTTGTAGACATGGTGGATTTCCCCTGGGCTAGACGGTGGCAGGGACAACTGAGAGTCTAGCTGGGGGCACCGAATCATCCCTTAACAATCACCTTTTGCCCTTCACAAAACAGTATTTCAGGTACGCAGAAGTGAGCGCCCCATCACAGATGGCTCCTGGCAGCGTGACCCTGAGGGCTGCCGTCCTCTGCCTCCTGGCCTGGGCCGGCCTGGCTGCGGGTGACCGCGTGTACATACACCCCTTCCACCTCCTCGTCCACAGCAAAAGCAGCTGCGACCAGCTGGAGAAGGCCAGCGCAGAGACACCCACGGACCCCACCTTCGTGCCGGTGCCGATTCAGACCCAGACGCCCCCCGTGGACGAGGAGGCCCTGTGCCACCAGCTGGCACTGGCCGCCGAGAAGCTGGGGGCTGAAGACCGGCTGCGGGCCACCAAGGTGGGGATGCTCGTCAACTTCATGGGCTTCCGCATGTACAAGATGCTGAGCGAGACCTGGAGCGGGGCCGGCGGGGCCGTCCTGTCCCCCACGGCTCTCTTCGGCACTCTGGCCTCTTTCTACCTGGGGGCCCTGGAACCCACGGCCAGCAGGCTTCAGGCATTCCTGGGCGTTCCTGGAGAGGACCTGGGCTGCACCTCCCGGCTGGATGGGCACAAGGTCCTCTCTGCCCTGCAGACCATCCAGGGCCTGCTGGTCGCCTCGGGCAGCGCCGGTGGCCGGGCCCGGCTGCAGCTGACCACCGTGGTGGGCCTGTTCACGGCCCCCAGCCTGCGCCTGAAGCAGCCCTTCATGCAGGGCCTGGCCCTGCTCACCCCCGTCGTCCTCCCGCGCTCTCTGGACTGGTCCGTGGACCCGGACCTCGCTGCCGAGAAGATGGACAGGTTCGTGCAGGCCGTGACCGGGTGGAAGATGCACAGGCCCCCGTCGGGAATCAGCGCAGACAGCACCCTGCTTTTCAACACCTATGTCCACTTCCAAGGTAAGGCAAGCCCTCCGGCAGCTGTGGCCCCGGTGGTGCCACATGGCGGCTGTCCTCTGTCCCTGTGGACTCAGAGAACAGCTGGGCTGGGCAGGCCGAGCCTGGGAGGGGCTGGGGCAGCCGTGAGGACGCGCCTGGAGACCACCCTCCAGGGGGAGGGGAGGGGCTGCCTGCTGGGCCCTTGGGTGAGCGGCCACCTGCTGCCCTACTACGTGCAGCTGTTACACTACACCCTCCTGCCTCCGTCACTCGGTCCCCTTACTACGCAGTGAGGACGGATGGTGACTTGGTTTATGAGGGAAGGAGAGACTCGGAGAGACCGAGTGCCTTGGCCCAGGTGCCAGAGCCACAGCAGGGTCCCAGGATTCACACCCACATCTCCTGGCCCCACAGCGCAGAAGGGACAGGTTTTTTTGCCTGGAGAAGGTCAAGGACTAGGATCACTGGCCCATGTGGCTTGATTCAATGACCTCCACGTGGGGGTGGGCGGCGGCATTCTGAAGAAATCCCCACTACAAAGGCTGCTTATTCACTCAACAAATACTCTCCGAGGGTTCGCTACATAAGACTCTGGGCCAGGTGTCCTGGGGTGCAAAGGAGGAGGTGTGGCCCTGACCCCAGGGTGCTTGTTCTATATCACTGGGACACTGAGCAGCAGGTAAAGTGCCCTATGAGGCTCGTGGGAAGGCCTCAGGACTGCTGGGAGAGACGGGATGGCCTGAAGTGGGCAGCCAGGGGACAGAAGAGCAAAGGTCGTGAGTGAAGCCTGCGGTGCTCAGCGC